CATATAAGTCAAATAAATAAATAAATAAATAAATAAATAAATAAATAAATGAATGAATGAATGAATGAATGAATGAATGAATGAATAAATAAATAAATAAATAGAAAGAAACAAGGAGAGGCAGACTGTTTTAATATTTGCTGTATTTCAGATTTTCATTCTGAATCTGCTCAGAACAGCAGAAGTGCAGAAGAACTACATTCCAGCCACAGGAAGGCTGTAGGTGTAAGAGCACAACTAAGGCACTGAATACCATTGCTTTCTCTGGCTTCTTGCTGCTCTGTTGCAGTTACTCCCATCCATTTAGCAAGCACAGCCTTGAATGTGTTCAGTTCCCTCTCCCAGCTAAACATAAATGGAAACTGCAGATGAACATGGACCATTGACATAAAGCTGCCTTGGGTCACTGCTTTTGGCAATCTGTACAAAGCCACCTGGAAACCTTCACTCTTCTTTGGCAGGCAGAGCCTTGTCAGAAATATCGCTGCACAGGATGAGATGACTGAACACAAGGGCCAAAGCAAAACTACTGCTCTTGGGATAATTTTATTGTTCACTGCCTGCAGGCAGAGGAAGCAGCAAATCCAGATGGTTCCCCACTTGCAAGGTACCAAGGTTCGCTGGCCTTTTGCTTTGTGCATCAGGCTAGATCTCACAAAACAGCTCGACATCAGAAGAATGATCACAAGAGGTTGGAGAGGTGTGTGGGAAAGACAAAGGGACTGAGTTAGCAGAAGCATGTGGGAACAAGGCTTAAAAAACCCTAGTGGTATAGCACAAGTATTAAGGGCACTGACGTTATTTCAGGGGAATTAAAAAAGAAGATAGTATGACAAGTATCCCAAGAAAAAAAAGAAGCAAACCAATATTGCAAGTGCTCCATTTACAACCCACTATGGCCTCCCTCCAAGTCAGCAAAGAAGCACAGAAAGCAGTCTTGGAAGATGTTGAGAACATGCCAGCTCAATAATCAAAACCAGTAGGAGTTGGCATACAGTTTCCAATAATCAGGCAGGTGAAGCTTCTATGCCCCTCAGAGCAACTGTTCCAACTGCATTATTAACACATAGGGTTTTTCTTACCAACAGGACAGAAAATAAGAAATATTTTCTAGTTCTCTCTAAAGATTAATTATGGCACTGTATCCTGGAAATATTGATAAAAAGACAAGAGCAAAGAATAAATCCCTTGCCACTTGGGATTTTTAAGAGAAAAGCATAAAAACTGGTCAGAACTGACTTGATGACACATGATTATTATTTATATCTCACATGTTACATGTTTAAAGAAACTTTGTAATTGCTAGTTATATTACTTGTTACCCCAAAAGTAACTAGTTATGGCAAATAGTTACTGCTGGTCTTGCCATCAATAGAGAAAGCACACCCTTTCCTTCACAATCTTAGCTCAGGACACAATGAGTGATACTACAAGCAAGATGTTGGATTGTAGAAAATGGAAAACTGTATGTATATTGGAAGTTGTGGTGAAAGATTCCTGGAATATGATCAAGAGTGAAGGCCAACCATGCATCTGACACACACACAGACACAGACACACAGACACAGACACACACACACACAGACACACACACACACAAACACAGATTAGCTGACCTGTGGGCATGCTTACAGAGCAACTGCATCATTAGCAAAAAGCATGCCAGCCTTTCATTAGGGTCTTACTTGCTTGGCTTTCTCTCCTGTCAGTGCAACAATATGGCTCATCCCTTTAACTGGCTGCCGCTCTGAGATGATCGTGAAATCATGTACAGCTCCTGTTCGCAGAAGGTGCCTGGCAAGGGCGAGGAGGAGAAACACATGCAGGAGAATGAAGAAAAATACACCCACTCTTTTAGTGTAGGAAACAGTCTATGCTCTAGAGGGCAAACTCTGCCTATTCAAAGGTTTTAGGAAAAGGAGGGGCAACTTTGCTGAGTTTGGGAACTAATTTTCCATCCCTAGGACCCACCAGGGACTGTTTTTGGAGGCCAGGGGGTTACATCTCATTTAACAGCAGAGCTGCCACTTCAGAAGCAGAAAAAGATATTTTTAAAAGGCATAAAAATGTTTGGTCAGTGGGGCAAGCCACATGGGGGAGTCTTGGCTTCCTTTTGGTCTCCCCCACCGCATGGCTTGGGGGTGGGGCCTAGGGGGGATTTCTGTTTCAAATGAACGTGTCCCAGGACCCTGGGCCCTTTTCCCTAGGAAGCTGGGCTGAGGCTGAAGGCCAGGTATGTTTGCATGGACATTTTGCTGAGGAGTTTTTTTTCTGGGCTTCCTCTTGGTCTCCCCCACCGCATGGCCTGGGGGGTGGGGCTTTCTGTCCCCTGAAATGTGATGAATTTTGACTAGTGGTATTTCCTGTGAGCTGATTTTGGCTCAGAATGCTGTGAAAAAGCAGCATATAAATAAAATAACTAACTCTGCCAATATAGCAAGAATGAGTCACTTTATGAGCAATTTTTTAAAAGTCTCATTACAAAAACACAAGCATTAACCTTCCAGAAGAGGTTTTCCAACCAGTGGACAATATCTACTAAGTTCTGATGTGATAGACACTGGTATATAGGGGTAAGCTTCCCCACCCTGGTGCCCAACCAGATGTGCTGAACTACAACTCCCATTACGCATAGCCAATATGGCTCAAGTCAACTGTGCAGGATTGGGGGGGCAGAGAGATTTTTTCCATAAATCTCTCTCTCTCAAACGCCCATGAATAATGTTAGACTTGAGAGGAATGAAGAGGTCAAGCGACACTCACGTTCCACAGCAGAGCTCCACAGAAGTATGCATGGCATCTTTCGACTCCTGGGCCAGGACCTTCTCCACTGGAACTCCTACAGATACTACTCGCACCAGATCTGGATACAGCTAGGGTAAAACAAACAAACAAAAAGATGCCCGAGTCAGCTGGAGAGTCTGCTCCCTGCAGAACTACTCAGCTCAAGAAGCTGTGGTAAACTGAAGAAAAGGGAAAGTCTACAGCACATACTTTCTTTGGTCTGTCTGGATCCTCCTGCCTATACGTTTGACTGGATGGCATTCAACTTGAGCTGGGAAAAGTTCCTTTTTTTTACTACAGTGACCAGAATCCTCGGCTAGTATTGAATCTTGGCAGCTGTAGTGCAAAAAGGGTGGTGTGCTCTACAGGTCAGTAATTTAGAGTACGGATGGGATTCTTGCACTACAGATCCCATTATTCTACCTGACAGACACTTTAGAAACACCTACACATGGCTCACCTGGGACTTGAAGGCTTTGAGGCTTAGGCCTCTTGTTAGCTGGGAGCTCTTCTTTATGAGTAGGAAGGCAGGCAGGACTGAACCTCAGTCTAGGCCTTCTAGTTTAGGCCTTTCTTCTCGGCAGGCAACATTTAGGTGTCTATAAGATGTCCCAGAATGGAGAATTATGGTAGCTGTAGTCCGAAAAGATTTAAAAAAATCCCAATCCTAGTTTGAAGTACTTTGCTGCAAAGCCAAGGCCTAGGAGTTCAAATCCCTGCCGTGAGGGGCCAGCCAAGATCACTCACTGTGTGTCTGGCTAATGGGATTATGCATCCTGACACTTATGAAGCTTTGCGCTAGCTGTATTGTCCCAGGATGCCAGCAGAAGGGAGTGGCAAACCACTTCTGAGTAGTCTATATGTAGAAAACTATGGGAATGTCACCATCAGTTGAAATCAACTTGATGGGACATAATTGATAGTTCAAAAAGTGATTCCGCCCCCCCCCCCAAACTCTGCACAACCTTACGATGCCAGCAGAAGGGAGTGGCAAACCACTTCTGAGTAGTCTATATGTAGAAAACTATGGGAATGTCACCATCAGTTGAAATCAACTTGATGGGACATAATTAATAGTTCAAAAATTTATTCTGCCCCCCCCAACTCTGCACAACCTTACTATCACTCTGCCCTCCTCCCCTGTCTGACACAGCATGGTAGTTACTGGTTGTACTGATGGAAAACACAGTCGGGCGCTCAACATTCTGCTGAGGATTCACAAACAGAAAGGCTCACCTGCACCATCATCATTCACGTGATTTCTATTCATGATAGTGACTATAAGGATGTGAGAAAAGGCTTTCTCTGTAGCAGCACTTTGGTTGCGGAACTCCCTAGCAAGAAATCTGGGCTTAAATATATGTTTTTCCAAGGAAACTGACTGGAGGGTAGCAATGGTAAATGCATTCCTTGAACATTTCATACACCTTAAAAACCCTATTAGGGTTTCTGACTTGGTGACACATGGTATCACGCTAAATTTGAATGTGCTGTTTACTTCTGCTGATGGGAAGAAAGTCAGTATAGCTTTGTTTGCCATATTCAGCCCAACACAGTCACAGAATCTCTTTGATTTTTCCAGTTCACTCTGGGAAAGTTGGGGTGGAGGGCCGCAGCCAGCACACACACCCTGTCCTGTGCTTTCTATAGGCATCCTTCAGTCTCAAGAGACTATGGTAACACGCTCTGAAGAGAGGTCTTGGAACAGCGTCTAGTGTGGCCGAGAAGGCCAATTTGAGAGTGACAATCCCTTCCACACTCAAGACAAATACAATCTGTCCCCTGTCCAGCTCCCTGATTTTGGTGGCTTCAGGGCTGCCTCTTTGCCTCGGCCTGCTGAACAAGGATCTCTTCAAATTGGGAGGGGCCATGATGGACTGCCTGCCTCCAGGCTGAACGCTCAGGTTTAAGCATCTGTTGAGATCCATTCCCAAGGTCTTCAGATCTCGCTTGCAGATACCCTTGTATTGCAGCTGTGGTCTCTCTCTCTGGAGCACTTTCCCTGCACTAATTCTTCATACAGGAGATCTTTTGGAATCCGACCGTCAGCCATTCTCACGACATGCCCAAGCCAACGTAGACGTTGCTGTTTCAGTAATGTATACATGCTAAACATTCCAGCTCGTTCCAGGACTACACTGTCCTGTGCATGTCTACATTTTTATAGCAGCTGAACAAAGCTAGGAACTGAAACTGTTCTGTTGTACTGACTTCTGCTATACTGCCTTTTATTTAAAATTCTCTTTCAAATGTGCCATAACATTATTAAAGAGATCAGCACACACATTTGTCCTTTGCTTTATCTATCCTGGAGTAAATGAACCTGACAGGTCTGCACAGCTTGCAATTCCAAATCTAAGCGATCATGCTGAATTCATTTTATAGAATTTTAACTTACAGAATGTTATCTCATCAGGCAAACACAAAAGAAAAATCAAAAATAAAGGAGACAAATACATTATGGCACCTTAAAGACAAACTGTTATGTTGCCTGTAATGGTAAAAACCCTGATGCCTGCTTTTTTCATCTTTTGAAAAACACGTAATACATGCTTTGAGAAATGATGCATGCCATCATTTCTCAAGGACAAATATATGCTTGTCCTTGTTTGTCTCCTTGTTTCACCTCTTACAGCAGTTCTGATATTTCAAGTGCATTATTTTTACACTCATGACAACTAGCAATTATAACATGTTTCAGGAACATAAAGACTTCCCTATCAGAACCCCACAATAATATCTTAGGAGCCATGGTGCACTCCCTTCTTGGACCTTTTTTCTGAACTTCTGGATCTCAATTAATTAATTAAGACACTTCCTTCACCTACTGCCCTCCCTGACTTACCTCATCCAGTTTCCGGAGTCCTAGCACATCATTTGTCAGCTTGACGGGCACTTCTTTTGTGTAGACAATCTCATTCCTTTTTATCACCTCCTGGATCACATTTTCTATGTTCTGTAGATCTTGGTTCGTTAGAGGGGCCTGGTGGAAGAGAACATTTATTTCAACCGACAGATACTATGAAGTGCCACTAGAAGGATAAACCAAGTAACAGATCATATGTGGACATCCCAGTTTCCTTGCCTTAAAAAAAAGTATACAGAGGTTATCCATACTAACCCACCAAACCAAGGGATTTCAAGACTCATGTGTCAAAAAGTGTAACGAACTTTGGGTAGGAGTATCTTTACAAAAACATCAACCAGTCAAGTTCTTTTATCCACTTTAGTGAAAGCATAGGACGGTCAACAGAACAGGGAAGGATGAGTAGCTATTCAAACCACTCCCCCACTCCATATCAGGGTTAGGGGAACATGTGGCCTGTGGATTAGGGTCAGACGCTACTGTAGAAAAACAAGGCCTTTTAAGGCTTAAAAAAGGACATGAATAGGACACATTTATGTTTAAAGAGGAAATTGCCCCCCCCCCAGCTTTCTATGGTGCTATTTGAAATTTTGGAACAAAACCATTTCTTTCCACATGTCTGAGGTGAGAGGTGGGTGTCAGGATGGATTTAGTCCTCCAAGGTGCAGGGCTGGGGGAAAATGATACCAGGGCCTTCAGGCCCGTCTGCTCCTGATTATCATCTGTTGGATTGTCACCCACCTTGCCAATTAAGATTGCTTTGTAGTTCCATACTCCTGTCTTCCTCACCTTTGTCCTCCTCACCACCCACTCCAACCCCTCTGGCCCACACATCACCTAATCACATATCTGCTGAGTGTTACACAGAGGCAAGAGAGCAGACATGCACAGAAATAAGCACATTTTCCCATCCACTAAACCACCACAGTAGAGGAAGGGTACAGCAACTATATGTTCTGTTTCACAACATAAAACATATTTTAGACCAACCTTTCCAATCCTCGCAACCTCCACATATGCTGGATTACAACTATCATCCCCTGTTTATTTGGCAGATAGCTAGGTTTAAGAAGGTTGGTCCAGATTTGGGAAGTTTTAAATGAGCCCCTTCACCCTCACAGGGTGAGAGCCCCGTCTTTCTGTGAGCTGCCAGGACATGCCCTGGAACAATGAGATAGATCAGCCCAAATGCATGAGCAGCCAGATTCCACAATCACCAGCTGAAAAGGGGACGCATAAGGCAGATTCCTGCAGTGTGACATCACAGACACTCCCTGCTAACTTGCTTCCTCTGCATTGATATCAGACAGCTTTGTGGCCCTAGTTACCTGCGTACTGAAGCTGAACCGCAGATGCTCAGCAGTCACGCGGGACCCCCGCTGTTCTGTGCCATCTCCCAAGACCTGACGGAGTGCAAAGCTGAGCAAGTGGGTGGCCGTGTGGTTCACCATGCATGCCAGCCTCTGGGCCTGAAAGCAAAGCAAAAGTCATGGTTTTAGTAAGAAGACAGTGCTAGAGGGCACTGCTGCAGTTTTCAGTATGGGGAAAGAGGAACAGGAGGCTAATTTTGCAGAAAGAGACAGAGCTTTGAAATGTTACCATTTGGGACTTCAACTCCAACCTACTGAATACAATCTGTTTATGTGTTGTTATTTACAAAGCACAACAGAGATCAGCCAGCAAGGTCTATTACCTCATCCACAAAGAGCTGCACTTGATCCCCAGCCTTCAGAATTTCAGAAGCTATCACTTCATGGACCACGTAACCGCCAAATACGTGGACTGACTCCACAGGGAAAAGCACATCCTCAAAAGCAAAAAGAGATAAGGTCGACAAATGAGAGAGCTAGCACAGATGCATGGTTCTCTTCTCCAAGTCAGCATCCAGGAGACTCTAGGCATTCTAGGTAACTTTTCAAAGTTCTTGAGAGAACTTCAATCCATCAGATCTGGAAGCCCCTCAAGTCTTTAGGACAAATGCAACTGAGATACAGAAGAGACAAGTTTCTTCTTTGTGCATCTCAGGTCTCCCAAGGAAGTGCACAACCAATGATTCCCTAAGCCCCTTTGCCAAGCAATGTATTGTTCCTACATTCTTTGCTTGAGTGCTCTTGTACACTCTGCAGAATTATAGCACTAGAGCTCTTGAGCAGAGACTTCTAAGTACCTCATGAAACAACACACTGCTGGATTCCATAGCTTGCAGCCACTGTAGTTAAAATGGTATCCAACTGGGTAGCACAGATATACTCACAAACAAGAAGGCCTATCAATAAGGTCCCTTTTTATTTACTTATTTACTTATTTACTTATTTACTTATTTGTTTATTCATTCATTCATTCATTCATTCATTCAAAGGTCTACTATGGGTGGCATTACAAATTTTAAAACAGTAAAACCAATAAACATGCAATAAATCCAATATGGTGAATTTAAGAAACACCAGGAGGGAAAGCCTGCCCAATAGCCAAGTCTTGAGTTTACTTCTGAAGACACCCAGAGAGGGAGCCAGGCTGATCTCCACGGGCAAGTTGTTCCAGAGGTGAGAGGCCACTGCCAAGAAGGTCTGGTTCCTTGTTCTTTCCTTTCGAACCTTCCTCAGACTTAGGCCCTCAGCCGCCTGGCCTGGTTGGAACGAGTGACTGCCAGAACTGGGTGGGAGAAGGCACTCTGCCACATATCGAGGTCCTAAACCTTTTAGGATGTTGTGTTTTAACACAACGCCCAGAGATGCCTGGTTTTGTAGCCCAATACATGGGGAATGCATCTAGATCAGGAAACCGTGGCAACACTGAACAGTGACTGAACTGAGACTGGAATGGAGGCCATGTCCAGCCTAAGAGAGGTCAGAAAGTGTCCCGGCCCTGGGTGTTGAAGAAACTTACTTGCTGCTCCACACTCATCATGTAGCCTCGGTCAGACACCTGGCCACCCTGTTCAGCATAGAAGCAGGTCTTATCCAGGATGACTCCACACCGCTGCCCTGCACCAACTTCCATTAGGAGAGAGCCATCTTTGTAGAACATCAAGACAGCAGCTTTGCATGGCTTGAACACTGCAAAGATGAAAAGTAGCATCATTCCCCACTCTTCTGTCAGGTGGCCACTGGCTACAGCTGGAACCCAAGAGAGTCAGTCAGGCTGTATTAGTCCTACAATGCTAGGATATTCACCTGTAGCCAGGTAAGAAATATTCAGGTTATTTTAGAGTGTGGCAGGACAACTCAGCTCTTAATACCAAAGAGGAACAACGGCAAAAGGGGTGCTTCTCTGAAATCTGTATTCATATGGTACAGCAGCACCAATTTATATCATGCATGCATTCATTCATTGTTACATTTATATCCTGCTTTTCCTCCAAAGTGGCGTGCATGGCTCTCCTCTTCCCCATTCAACATCTTAACAGTACTCAGTCATACTAAATAGACTGGTCATCACTGGGCCATTGAACCTGAATCTCCCAAATCCCAGTCCAACTCTCTAGCTGCTATATCACTACTGATCTCCTAAAGCCACTTGCTCACTAATATATAGGTCTGCTTGTTCCGGCTAAAAGCAGTATCTCTTTTACCGCTACAGAGGCAAAGGACCATAAATATAGGCAGCTCTGATGCTGTCTTCCCTGTTTTCCGAATTCAACAATCCTGTTTGAAAACCTATTTAACTTTGTGGCTTTCACTGCACAGCTGAGCCTTTGGTTTGTAAAATATCTAAGACATTCTAAGACCAGTGCCCTCTAGGTACTGATCATGATTCAGACTGTAATTCCCATCAGCCCTAGGCAGCAGTGGCATAGTGAGGAAGGATGGGAATTGCAGTCTAGCAATATCTGGAGAGCCATGTTTTCCCTGTCCCAGCACTACCCAAAACACAGAAAGCTGCTGTAGTGTGACTTGGTAAGCTTCCCTATTTAGCCCAGCATTGTCTACTCTTTACTTTACTAGCAGTGGCCCTACAGGGTCCTTGTGCACCTGAAGACATGAACATCTCCACAGGGCATCACGACAGCCGACACCACAGTGCCTCTCCTGGGAAAAGGGCAGGAGCTAATTCTTCTCATGGTGCACTTTGGAGACACTCCAAGGCTGAACAACCTAGAAGCTCAGCACACAGTCATGTTCTGAACCACAGGATTTTTTGGCATTAAATAGTTGCTGTTTTTTAAGGTGCCACAAGATATTCTGTGGCTTTGCACACGATACACACATTTGCTCCTTGACGGAGCACATGAAATCACCATTTTAGATGGGCTGTAATGGATTATTCTCTTTAAGTCAGTCAGTTACTTAACAGGGTGGCAGCAAAAGTGGAAACTGTTAACCTGCTACATTTAAAGGGATTATGTGGACTCATGCAACCTTTACTCCTCTTATGTAACAAATACTTCTAAATCCATTTTATGTTTTGTATGAACACCTTGGGAGTTGCTGTACAATGGTAAGTACCCAGCTGAGATAAATCCAATTTTCTTTCCTACCAGCAAACCTCGAGATCAGTTTATTATATTTCTGTTGTAGAATATCAATAGTAACAGTGCTTGACAGTTCTGTACCTAGTTGAAATCTGCAAGAATTTAATGCTCAGAAACAATCATCTTGGATCATATAAAGATCAATGTTCTGACAAAACATGAATATTTGACAAAAATGCATAACTATCTTAATGTGTATTTTACCCTAAATGGCTGGCCTAAGAACTTCTGCTGCCTGACGCAAAGTAGTGTGCTTCTATTCACCTAATCAAGGCCTACAGTATGCACACTAATCGCATGATGCTTAAATAGGAGCCTCTTGGCACAGTAGTTAAACTGCAATACTGCAGCCAAGACTCCGCTCACAACTTGAGTTCAATCTTGGGCTCAGGCAGGCGGCTTGAGTTTTACTCAATCTTCCATCTTCCCAAACTCAGTAAACTGAGTACCCCCAGCTTGCTGGGGTGGCCAATGTATAGCCTGCATAATTAAACTCTAAGCTGCCCGCACTATGGGGCAGTATATAAGCAGCATGCTTTTCTTTGCTTACCGTAATTCCCGCCTTGCCCAATTTCATATGCATACTTGGGAGAGTCATCTGTGACAGGCACAACATCCTGCTGCAACTTGGCCAGTGAATGCACATCCAGTTGCATGGTAGTTTTGTCCTCCTGTTGTGGCTGAGCTTTGCGCTGATATATGTAGAAGAACATACATGGAAGAAGACATCGGTGAGTGCGCAATGTCCGCTGAAGGACACCTATTTATGCAAGGCGCTCTGAAGCCATCGCTAGCTCCTCATGCAGTCAGGGATTAGGTCCTGAATTTGCATTCCTGAAAACCCCAGAGTTCCCTGTCCCTTTACACCAGAGGTGGGCAACCACCACAAGTCCAGGGGCCTCACACACCCACCACTGGACCTTGAAGGGCCACAGTCACTCTTGCAAACTCGTGTGTGTGTGTGTGTGTGTGTGTGTGTGTGTGTGTGTGTGTGTGTGTGTGTGTGTGTGTTTAATTGACAAAGCCTTCTTTTGTTTTCTACTGACTCAAAATATTTTTAAATATTAGTTTTGAGTTAGGAATACTAAAAGTGGCGGAGGGCCTTGAAAACAAAGTAAAATATTCCACCCTCACATCCAGTACACAAGAAGACATTCTGAACACCCTTTTCCCTCCCAAAAACATTTTTTTTTAAATTAGGAGGAGGGGGTTGGTTTCCTGGACGCTCCCAGAGGTGCAGATGGCAGGCCACATGTTACCTACTACGGCTATAAATCAGACTTGCACAGAATCTGCCTCCCCCCCTTTCCCTTCACTCCATCTCCTCAGAGCTCCTTGAACAGATCAGAAAAAGGGGAATCAAAAGAGCTACCACAAAGAGAAACCAAAACCAAAATAAAGAAGGTGTACCTAATATTTTACATTACTGAGTAAACTTACTATGCCTGCTAAATTTGGTTTGCCCTGAGGTAGTATTTAGATTTTGGAATGAAATTTCACAGGTCACAGAGGGGCGTCTTCAGTTCTCTATAATGTATGGCTCTAAGGACAATAGCTACAAGCAATGGAGTTTCTTTCAGAGATTGGAAAAATGACTTCTGATTACAAGGTGCATAATGCCACAGCTACCATGGCCAGAAGTAGTCAAAAATACATTTCCCAACCCTGGTTTGAGACACATTAATTTTCCTGACAGAAGAAGAAAATAATTCATCCTACTTCAGCCTCTTCCTGAATCAGACGGTCCAGAGCTATGCTGTCCAGTTGGACCCCCTTTTCTTCAAGCATCAAGCCAATGAGGTCCAGGGGGAATCCCAAGTGATTATACAAGGACCAAGCGACCTCCACTGAAGGCAGGAATCAGATCAGGAAGAGCACAGGAGAAGAACACAGAATAAATATTCAGGACTTTATGACTCGTTAGCAACATTCTATCTCCATCTACAAGACCTATGAGGGGCAGCTGAATAAAAACAGTCATCATTTGCAAGCAATTGTGAGCACAAAGCAGGTTTGGAGTGAATGTTTACTTCCAGAGGAATTGGGGGAATTGGGGCTGATCTTTGAGTAAAGTGCCAGAAAATCCAAACAGTATCATTCTAGTATACACAATTCTATTCCTTCATTTTCTAGGCAGGGAGAAACTCAGTTCAGCAGAATCAAGGAGGAACACTGGCCTAGCTCAGGAACAGACAGACTGAATGTGCAGGACGGTCACAGCCCCTCAACATGTGGGGCATTTGCTGTATCTGTGACACCAGCTGGCTAACTGCAATATAGATGACAGGAGAGGAACGTGTGGTCCTCCACAGGTTGTTGGGTTACAACTCCGATCATCCCTCATCACCAGCTAAGCTGATAGCAACTATCTGGCAGACCACAGATTGCCTGCTGCATGCTTTATAATATTTTATCTGGATTGTCCAGCATTATTTCTCGTATTTTTATGTATTTCACAATGGACTTTTTCAGACTCATAGCAAAGTGATTTCCGCTGACATAGGAAACTGGAGATGTCTATAGCTATAAATTGTAATTAAGGAGCCGTTAATGATTCCAAGACAGCATTTCGAGCCCCAAGATTCTGACGCTTTGGGCACTAAAGAGTCTCACTGTTAGCAGTACACAAGAAAAGACAACAAAGATTTGTCAATTGCTGTGGAAGGAAGCGGGGCTTTCTAATCAGGGAAGAATTGTTCTTTGTAACTAAGTTAAATAAAAATATGGAGAACAAAATTCTTAGTTCTTTGCCCACATAATTATTCATGTAGGCAAAATTTGGGACTGATTAGCTAACAGGAGATGGTACAGAATTTCTCAGCCTTGTTTTACATATTGAAAGAAGTTCGCTGAAACAAGCACTTGGCAATAATAATCTGTCTTATTACAGTCAAGAGCAAGTAGGCAAAGGCTAAGAGGAACTCTAATCCAATATATTCAGAGGGCACTAGCTAGGGGAATGCAAGGCTAAGGTCTAAACAGCCCAGCATTCTCTTTCTTATATGGTTCAGGAAGACGCCTCTAGGCTCTCATGAACGATACATGAAATGAAGGAGTATCACTTAATACAAGAGTAAGGAACCAGTGACTCTCCAGAAGTTGCTGGATGACAATTCCCACCCTTCCTGGTCACTGTTTGAGGCTGATAAAGATAGAGTCCAACAATATCTAGAGGGCCACAGGATTCCCACCCACTCCCAGCCTATCAGTTACCTCTTAACATATGATATTCAGATGTACGCCACCTCTGAGGCATTTCACTAAGTTAGTCAGGCGAGCAGTCAACAACAAATCTGTTCTTCAAAAAAAATCATCCCAAAAAAGCCCTCTCAAGTTGCTGGCCTCATGTGGTTACACCAAAATAAATCAAAATGGCATCTTTCTCACTGCAACACTTAACTGGGGAAAGAAACAGTCACCAAAAAAATCATTGCTGTTGTTCACACTTCCCCCCCGCCATCGTCGAACATAATAGCCAGGAAAGTTACACTTTCATTTCAGTTGCATGCGCTCTTCCAAGGGTCCCTTCTTTGCAGAGACAAACAAGAAAGGCCAAGTCAAAACTAAAAAGAGATGGTGGGTTTCCTCTCTTTACCCCTTGACTTCATTCTCCATTTTTCCTCAGGAAAATACGAAGAAACTTGCCTGGAAAGACTTTGGAATGTTCCATTTGTTGGAGTGTTTTGTCAATAACACTGCGCCCTCGGGAGAGAGAAGACAGAAAAGCAGCTTCATTCTCATTGATGATATTCATAACCTGGAGGGAGAACACAGTCAGATTCAAGTGGAACAGAGGAGGGCTTAACCAATTATTCAAAATACAAGGTACAAAAAAATCCTAAAAGAAGCCGTTAAGAACTAAAGAGGAAAAAGGAGAGGTCAACAAGCTTCCAGATTCTTCACTAGGTACCACTACCTTGCTCAGAGTGCACAAATAAGAGCATCAATCATTACTATAATGCAGCCACAAGACGTGAGCCTTCCAGATCACTGGTAGACACACCGCCCTTTATGCAGCCCTACGATTCAAGGGGATAGGTAAGACAGAGAGATGCCAAAAACATCGTACCGGACTGGAACCTTGCTGAGCCATGAAACTCACTGGGTGACCTTGGGACAGTCCCTTACTTTGGTGTTAGGACAAAATGGGAAGGAGGTGACTCCTAGAGGCCCTTGGAGGAAATGTGGGATACACATATGACTGATAAATAAGAGAAAGACAGAGTATGGGATATATGGGACGCTGTTTTCTCCTGACTTCTGGATTCTTCTAACAACAGAAGGACAGATAGTAGGGCAATTAAGTTGGAAATGCAAACCGGTAATTCCCTGAACTTATTGCTGTTGGAGAAATCCAGCAAACAAATCCAAATTAAGAAACAAAGACATTATGTCTTTGCCCGCCTTGTTTGAAGTAAAACATTCCAGGGCCAGCACCGTCTCAGCCAAACGGGTGTCGATCAAGAAGAGGTCTGAGATATGTGCTGACTTGTCCCTGCCCCTGCCTTGCTTTTAGCTAGATTTCGCAGGAGCTGAAAAACATTCCCTTTTGGGGACAGCTGCTCTCGGAAGACCCCAGGCCAGCTTGGCCATGGCAAGGGAGAGTCTCTTTTGATGCCAGGATGCTGTACATTATGACATTTAGTGTTTTTAAGTAGCATTTCAGTGTATTCTTAATGCACTTTTAATTCCTTTAAACTAATTATTTTAATAGTATTATATGTTTAATTGGCTTTTTATGCAATTATTTCCTGTGTTTTTAATTGGTTTGCTTTTTAATATTTTGTAAGCCACCACAGGTCCCTTCACGGTGAAAAAGGTGGAATAAAAATGAATCAAATGAAGAAACAAATGCAGTCCCCCCCACCAGCTTTGTTTTTAGTTATTTACTAGAATTCCCAATGCTATGCTGGTCTTCAGGACTAAAATGGAGCCAGTTTGGAAGTGAAAACCTCGATTGTACAAAGTATGGATAGAAAATCACGTCCATATTCACGTCCAATTCAGAAGTTACTCTCTTCTGAATTTTTAACGACCCCCTCTGATCAGCAGCAAGAGTGATTAACTTCATTAAACAAGCCAAGCTGTGATAACGTAGAAAACTGAAGGGCTTGCTGTTCAATTACATATGAGAATTAACAACATGCACCTTCTCAGTGTGTTGCACATGCACACCCATTCCCAACTGCTCTCCTTCTTCTGTCCCCCTAACTGATAAGGATGAAATCGATTTCCTCTTTCAACTTGGACACAGCTGTGCAGCACATTCAACTAGACTGAATGAGCAAGGCACACTTGCCTATCCCTGCAAAGGCATGGGATATTCAGCTATACAGTTGTGCCCCGCTTTACGATTATCCCGTTTAACAACGAATCCTCTTGATGGTGAGTTTTGTTGCGATCGCTTAACAATGGTTTGAATGGGGGTTTTCCGCTTTGCGATGATCAGTTCCCTACTTCGGGAACTGATTTTCACTTTACGACAATCAAAAACAGCTGATTGTCAGGTTTCATTTTCTTTCCCGGCTGAAGAAAATGGCTCCCCGCTGTGCTTAGGGACGGATTCCTCGCTGCACAGGTACTGAAACTGGCCGTCCCTATGGAGGATCTTCGCTGGACAGTGAGTTTTCAGCCCATTGGAATGCACTGAACGGGTTTCAATGCATTTCAATGGGCTTTTTTATTTTGCTTTACGGCGTCTTCGCTCTACAGCGATTTCACTGGAATGAATTAATGTTGTAAAGTGAGGCACCACTGTATTCTGTGTCTTAATACAGAAGCTTCTTTGAGCTAGCATGGCTCATAGCTACCCACACACCTGTCCTTCAAAAGAGATCCCCCAGTTCCACATGCTGTCCAATAATGAGTGACCAGACACAACGTTCAGTCTGTCCATTCCAACTGCTCACCTTGTCTGCATCCCTTCTCAGCTCTGGATATGCATCCCCCTGCAAAAGGAACAATCAGCCATCATCAAATGAGACAACTGTACAGAATTACCAGTTACCATTCCTCCTTTTCAGCACAGAAAACATCTTTTCTCCTTAAAGCCATTTAAAAAAACTGGTGTCATGTCAGGAACTATTCTGAGCAAAGAGGATGTAGAACTTGAGAGTTTAAGCTCCAAAGTCCATAGCCATCAGCCACTGTCTCCCAACCCACACACTACATTCCTCTTTTACCCTGAGGGTGGCTGTCATTCATTCAAGAAACAAGTGGAACCTTATAAATGCTCCAAGCTCCTTAACCTGCCACCTATCTATACCTCCCTGGCATGCAACACTTTTCAGATTCAGCCATGACCTTAAGTAGTAGATTCTCAGTGATGCACCTTGCAAGAAATAAAAGAAAAACTTGATGTACCAGTTGAAATTTGGATGCTACTTCCTGGAATCCCCCCCCCAATTTGCTGTGCCTCTAACAGTTATCCTCTGCATGTATCTCATACCTGCCATATGCACTGTTACCTCTACCCCCACCCCCTACAACTCCCATCATACTTCACCACTGGCTAAGGCAGATGGGAGCTGCAGACTGACAACATTTGGAGAGGTCTACTTTCCTCATCTTTGTTTTAATGTCATCTGAAAGTACTCAAGAGACTACATTAGGAAAATGTTATATCGTAATTTTCTAGTATTTTTTTCCTTGACAAGACAGGGGCATCAGAAACAGTAAGAACCAAATGCTGTGTGGCTCAGCAAGATGTCATCAACATATGATATGACTGACAAAATAAACAGCGGTCCCTCTCCTGCCCAGTGAAGTTAATAAACCAAGACTATGACATGTATTAGGTGCATCTTCCTAAAGAACTAGATTGTTCATTTGAAATCAACAGACAGAGACTACTGGTGTAGGTGCTATCCAGAGAAATGGCTATAGTATGAGACTCTGGCTATAAACAGTTTCTGCGCAACCAGCAAAGCAAGTCTTCAATTACCAAGATTTCTACCACAACAGGAACTAAACTGGCCAGGAATCCAGGTGGAGCATGGAGGACCTCGGAGCAAAATCGCACAGCCCTACGCAGGATATGACGCAGAACAACCCTGCAGGCAAGAAGAAAATTTCCCAGAAGATTAGTGTTCTTGATCAGCAGGCTATTTCATTTTTTCCAACCAACACTGAGAGAATCCCTTCACATTAATACTGACAAGCTTTCCATCCCTAAAATTCTCCTTGTGCCATCACCAGTTTTCCTCTGCATGCATCTCACACCTGCCATATATACTGTTAACTCTCTCCTCACCCCCCTACAACACATTTCACAGGCAGCTGTTGCATAGTGCCCAGTGCTAGACTGGGATGAGGGAACACAGGTTCAAATCCTCACTCAGTCCTGAGGTTTTGCTGGGGAACCCTGGGCCAGCCACTGCCTCTTAGCCTGCTCTACCTCACTGGGTTGTCATAAGGATTAAAATGGAGAGGGGGATGATGTACACCATCTTGTGCTCTCCCGGGAGGGAGGTGGAAGGCAAGACAGAAATATGACCAACCCCCCTCACCCATTTCCCAAACCCATATGAGATTTATTTTGCCCATCCTAAGACCCCACTTTCACCCTCTAAGTAGTCTTCTGACTGAACGTTTCTCAAGATCTCCCCCACTTCGCTCGGCTTCCCTAAGATGCGCGATGCCTCTCAGGCCCAACCAACCCTTCTAATTGTGCTTTTTCCTTACTCGGCACCAGACATGCCTGGGTAAACACCATCGGCAATGCACACAGACAAGGTGCGCACGTGATCTGCCACCACTCGGTAGGCCATGTTCACACCAGCAGCATCAGCTTCTCCAACCAAGCCCTGATAGACGGGCCCACCACAGCCCTGCAAGAGACATCCAGGAATGATTTAGAAAACCCCAAGGGGGGTATACACACACTCAAAAGGTCTCGGCCATGAATGCTGCATGCAAATGGTTCCTTCAGTGACCCCAATAGTACTGTTTTCCTCCAAATGCTAGGACTACAGCCAGCGAATGGGAGCAGCAGAAAGCTGGACCACCGCTAGACTTTGGGGCAGTTCCTAAATGCAAAGAGCTGTTGGGCAGTGACGCCAGATCCTTTAGGGAAGTAGCAGGCTCTCTTTTCCTGGAGAGATTTAAGGAGAGGTGGGAAGGGTGTCTGTCAGCGATCCCATAGTTGCAAGATCCCTCTATTAGGCAGGAGGCTGGACTAGGCTGACCTCTAAACTCCCTTCTAATTAAAAAAATATATCTATGATTCCAAAGTGTTCTCTTTGAATTCTTAATTTAAAAAAGGGAGACATGGCAATTGATGCATCTAAATAGTAGCATTCTGGGAGTAATAATTTTAACACACATTTTTGTTAAAATTAGATGCATCACTCTCAATTAATGTAAAAGGAGCAATTTATACATTAATACTTCAAATTGACACATCACTTCCAAAATATTCTCTAAAGCAGTGGACCCCAACCTTTTCCTCCCTTCCTCAAGAGAACATTTCGAACCACACTGACTGCCACCACAAATGCTGCAGCACACTCAGTAGTAAGTAGCCATTATAAATAAGCCCACCCACCCTCAAAGTCTCAGCTTATCTGCCCTTGTGCAACTGATTATCACCTTGTGGATGGCATCCAGGATAGGGGCGAAGAGGTCTGTGTCATAATTGGAACGCTTGTTCTGTAGGACTGTCATCAACCGTTCCAGGCCCATTCCTGTGTCAACGTGATGCTGAGGCAGCTTCTGCAGCCTTCCATCAGCCTCCCTGACAATGCATCAATCGATGAACAGAAAAGGTAGGGGGGGGGGAGAGAAAGATATGAGCTGGAGATCAAGGGCTTCATTGCAGATAGAAGTGTGATAGATGGCAGAGGAAGAGAAAAGCTACAGGAAAACTGACGAGAGAATAATAGTTAGAAGGTTGCAGCTAAGGAGAGAAAGATGAACAACAGAGTCCGAAAGTGAAACATCATAAAGGTTTATCAGGCATCGGAAATGTGTGGCCCTCCAGATGCTGCTGAACTGCATTTCCCATCAGCCTTGTCCAATAAAGCCAAATGTGAGGAACAATGGGAACTATAGTGCAACAACATATGGAAGACTACTATTGTCCATCTTTGCCATATACAATGAAGGCTACAGGAAAAGCAGTGCAATCTGTTAATGTTTCGCAATATCCTAGCATCCACCAAAGTGCTGAAGCTCTGACACAAACTCAGAAGCAGAGCAATCTCAACCTACCTGTTGTACTGCATGAAGACCAGATTCCAGATCTCCACCACACTGGGATCGCCTTGGTTCACCAGGGCTGCTGCATTCCTGCCACCACCGTTGTGATCATAGTGGATCTCTGAACAGGGCCCGCAGGGGCCAGTATCACCCATTTCCCAGAAGTTATCCTTCAGCTCGAAGGGAAGCACATGACTGGAGGGCAGACTGAAACACAAGAAAAGAACAGCTATTAAAGTGAGAGTGAGAGTGGGCAAAGTGTGGCCCCATGCTTGCACCCCCTGGGCATTTTGCTTTTCCCCACAATGATCCCCTCCATGCCACAAGAAATGGGGAAACAATGATTTCTCCATTCCTGGTGGGTTCTAGAAGCAGTGCTTTTTGCTTTAACCAGGTCAAATACTTCCCAAGATCCACTCCTAACAAAGCCCAGGAAAATCAAAAGTAGAACTGGCCACCTAGGTACTTCTGCTTTTGCATCAAGTTTTGACCCTTTCAGGGCCTGTTATAGCTCTTGACAGAACCTAGGAAAAATACTGCTCATCCCTGACAAAAGTAATCAATCCATAAACTTCTTCCTTTCCCCAAATGACTGGGTCTTCAAGCCTCCTTGGAGCGATGAGATAAAGATGAAAGGGGAAATGTCCCCCAGGTTTGCAGTCACATTGTTGTGTATACTTGCTCGCTCACAAGCTATGGTTATAGCACTGAAGCTGTAAATGTTCTTAACTGCAATATAAAAATGTTTTTAAACAAAGAGTTTTAGATATTCGAGCTCAGGTGGACCTAGCCACACTAGCACCAGTAAAATCTATGAAATGGCTGGCTGGGGCTAAAGCCCAATTTCAGGAAGAAAACTATTTGTCCTTTACAATGAAAAGAGACTTGCGTGTGGCCTTTACATGACTCTGTTTTGAACAAATGGATACAATGATGAAGAGGGGTCATTTTTTGGGCATACCTGTACAAAATAGACATTGCCCCTGTGGGAATGATAAAATAGAAGATCTTGCCCACTATTTGCTGCCCTGTCAGTTATAGGCTAATATTAGAAAACATTACTTTGCCCTGCTCTTTAATAGGATAAGGGCATGGGATGACAAGAGAAAAAATAGACTATTTGTTGTGTGGATCCAGCATGTTCATAACACAGAGGGTTGCTGTTTATGCGGTTAAGATGGCCTCCCTTAGAAAGAGGATGAAAAGAAATGTGTTTTATTATTATAATTATATAGCAGAGTTCTATAAGGATTTTAAATCAAGACTTTACGGGATTAATAGCAATTTATCTTAGGTCTATATTTTTGGGTAGTGACTTTTTAAATTAATTCCTTGTGCAGTGCTTATTTTAAACTTCGTACATACAAATCAACAAGCCATCAGAATAGTTCTGATTGTCAAGAAATTGAAATCCTACATAATGGCATATTCTGAAAAAATAGGTAACATTTGCAGAATTGTGCTTACTTCATCAACCAGTTAATAATAGCATTGAGTTCTTTGTATGATTTAGAGTACTTGGGCAAGGAGAAGAGAAAGCTAAGGTGACATCAAATAGCTATATGCAGCATGGACTCTCAATTAATTTAGTAGAGACCACATCTGAAACCCTACCTAAATCCCAAGCTTCTTTCAGAGACTGGATTTTCCTGTAAAAGATAGAATCTTCAAACAAAAAGCAGCCCAGATAGTGAATTTAATGCCAAAGTGCACACCGCATAAAGCATGACTACAAACTGGTAGTGACGATATACAGGCAAGGCTTTTGCAATTTGATTTCTCACTTTTTCTCGTTTACTCACCCCAGGCTAAGCCAGATCTCCTTGGTCTCTTCATCTGCACTAAGGCCAAGTGAAGCATCTCCTCCAAAGTAGGTGACATAAAGACGGTCCTTTGGGATTTCATAGACTTCTGTTAGGAGTTCCCATGCCATCTTACAAGCTTCTTCCTGAAGATGAAGAAGGTAATATTGAGTCTGGGCCACTTCAGACTGCAGGTGGGGATTTCATGTTCATTTCCTCTCCAACATAAAAACAAAAAAGGCTAGGTTAATAATATTCAAAGACAACACTTTCTCACACATAAGGAATTATTTCCACAGGGGAGGAATTATTTCCTTTGTGGAATTATTTCCACAAAGAATTATAAACTTATAATTCCTTCCCTGCTCTAATCCAGGAAGGGTTCTCCTCTTTCTGCAAATGTAATTTCAACGGACACTTTAGAAACAAAACAAAAGAGCCCTTTGAAATATGAGTTTGTGCAGTACAACACCACCTTTCAGTGCAAAGAAGATGCAACATATTCTGTAAGAAAAAAACAACTTCCTGTCTTACTTTAAAGTAATCTCCAAAGGACCAGTTCCCCAGCATTTCAAAGAATGTATGATGATAGACGTCTCGACCCACATCTTCCAAATCGTTGTGCTTCCCACCTGCGCGCACACACTTCTGGCTGTTCACCACGCGCCGATAACGTGCCAGCTCACTCCGAGGATCTGCTGTGCCCAGGAAAATGGGTTTGAACTGGAAATTTTGAAAGGAACCAAAAGGAAAATTTACATATATGATAGCATTAGATAGGTTTCCAGGGAAGGTCAGGCTAGAACACTGTTATATTGCACATTAAACAGTGATACCCTGTTTCCCCTAAAATAAGAACTAATCTGAAAATAAGCCCTAGCATGGTTTTTCAGGGTGCTTGTAATATAAGCCCTACCCCAAAAATAATCCCTAGTTAAGTGAAAGCCCGCCCTCCACCATTGTGCAGCAACCAGAAGAAGATGACATGACAGCATTTGAATAAATGTAGATTGCTGTACATAAAAAAAAAAGACATCCCCTGAAAATAAGCCCCAATTCATTTTTTGGAGCAAAAAATAATATAAGACCCTGTGTTATTTTCAGGGAAACAGGGTAGTAAAAGCAACTTTGCCTGATGCAAACAGGAAAGGAAGAAAAGGCAATGGTTCAGGTGTAGACCCTTCTAGCAGGGATAAATATAAGTTTCCGTTGCTTAATAATACAAGTTGAGTTGGATCAATAATGTATGTTCTGCATACAAACATCCATACCAATTTCAGTACTGCTAACTTTAGTTCACACCTTAGTATCATAACAAATGCCAGAGTCTTTGGGTTCCCACTTACACACTAAACTGTATATAGTAGAAAGGCATTTTGATGGCTGCTCTGCACGTCTATAAATTCCTTTTACAAAACACTGAACATATACATACTGGGAAATAAAAAAGTTAGGATACACCAGCTGATTCTGAATAACATTGTAGCAGTGGAAAATTGTTGAGCAGCACACAAGGATTCAAGAACTATCTTTTTCAGAATGTACTATGTTTTATATGGGAGGTGAACTCCTGGAAAAACACACATTACACAATCCGTAATACAGGTGAAATTCTGAAACTAGTAATATTACCAGTAAGAGTCTTTTGGTGCTTTGGCTCTCAATGGCCAAAATCCTGGATGTGTGGATTTTGGATGTGTGCACAATAGAAAATATGGAAATTGCCATGGCTAACCAACAAGGTGCTGGATATGTGACCAGTCACATGTCCGAGATGTGACCACCACCTTGTCAATTAGCTATAGCAGCTTCTGCAGTTCCCCTTTCGCATGCATAAATTTCAACAATGTTTCGGTCATTGAGTTCTTCCAGCGAATGCATATTATATACCTTTTATCAGAAATCATCACTTCACAAGTTTTGCTATGCCTCTACAAAAAGCACTTCTACATCTGAATTAGTGATATACCCACATCTAGATAATGTGTAACAATCATAAATGCTTCAAGTACATGTGATGTACACACTGGGTTTTGACCACATAATCAACTGCAGATTCCCAGAAGGTATATGAGGGAGGCTATTTCATTACATATTGTACATCAGAAATGGAATATGTGGTCTTTCAGATGTAGTCATACAGCCATGCCAGTCAGCCTAGGCAGTGGTGTGGGATGATGGGAATAGTTGCAGTCCAGCAGTATCCAGAAGGCTACACATCCCTCACACCTTCGTTACCTGAAGATTTCATTACAATGAGCCTGTGTGGTGGGGTAATAAACCTCAAAATGCTTTACTGCATTAGTACAAACTGTGAGGAACAGTAATGATGGCCTAAGGTTTTTAAGCGCCTTCATAGATTGCTGCCTTGTCGTGGCAAAGGGACTTGAGTAATTCAGAGGAGCTATGGGCTATGCCATGCAGGGACACCCAAGATGGACAGGACATAGTGGAGAGTTCTGATTAAATGCGATCCGCCTGGAGCAGGAACTGGCAAGCCACTCCAGTATCTTTCCCAAGAATACCCCATGAACAGAAACAAAAGGCTAAAGATATTACGCTGGAAGATGAGCCCCTCAGGTTCGAAGGCATCTAACATGCTACTGAGGAAGAGTGGAAGACAAGTATAAGTAGCTCCAGAGCTAATGAAGTGGTTGGGCCAAAGCCGAAAGGACGCTCAGCTGTGGACGTGCCTGGAAGTGAAAGGAAAATCCGATGCTGCATAGAAAAATACTGCATAGGAACCTGGAATGGAAGATCTATGAATTTTGGTAAGATGAGTGTGGTCAAACGGGAGGTGGCAAAAATAAACATTGACATCCTGGGCATAAATGAACTAAAATAGCTGGGAATGGGCGAATTCAATTCAGATGATTATCATATCTACTATTGTGGGCAAGAATCCCATAGAAGAAATGTAGCCCTCATAGTCAACAAAAGTGAGGGAAAAGTTCTGACTCCTATTCTCTGAAGACACCAGCCACAGAGATTGGCGAAATGTTAGGAAGAAAAGCTTTCAGAACACAGCCGAACAGCCTGGAGAACCTACAACAAGTATCTAACTATAATATTTGCTAGAAGGACAATTATGTTAGCCATTTACAACCGGTATCTAGCTACAAAGCCAGAGTTTGGGAGTCTCTACTTGGAAAAACCTGAAAATTAGTCTCTACTTGGAAAACCCTGAAAAGGGTCACCATAAGTCAGCATTGACTTGATGACACATTTTCATTATCATTATAGCAACAAAACCAGGAGAGGTTTGTGCCACTTTAAGGTCTAAAAAGCATATGGCACATGCCTCTGGAGACGCATTTGATGAAGTGGCTAGTGCCTATCAAAGCTTAGGCCATCATAAACCTGTCAATCTTCAGGATGCCATACGATGATGTTCTAAGACCTGTAGCGGGACATCTTCCCCCGGAAACCGGGAGCACGTGAAAGAGTTTAGCAGCACCGAAGTCCATGGGTTCTGGGCAAAGGAAAAGCACCGTCCACCCGCCGGACTAGGCAGCGCGAGGAACCCCAGGGCGGAGTTTGTAGCTCCGTCGCTCCCTTTTAGAGGCCGTACCTGGTTCATTCCCGCGTTCACGAAGAGCAGTCCGAGATCGCCGCGCGGCCGTACCGATGCCGATGGTACTCTTTGATGTCCATACCGCTCCTGGAAGAATTGGATGAAAGTCTGACGCACTCGCGAGGATGACAGCGAAGCAGTAGAGCGAGCTCGGCAGGAACTGCAGTACCAGTCGGGGGAAACCCGAAGAATGAAACGTCCCGCAGCGCCCTTGACTGCTGCTGCCACCGCCATTTTAACTGTGGGCGGAACTGTGGGACTGGCGGCTTCAAGGGGAAGAGTGTAGGGAGTTTGTATTCGGTGCAGCAGAGGAGAGTGGGCTGGACGGCTTCGCGCGGGTCAAATCGATGTCTCTGTTGGGATTCTAAAGTCTCCCACTGAATCGTGGAGATTGAATGGTGGTAAATTTGTAACTTCAGTGCAGGAAGCATTGAAGTGGGTGCCACCTTTCAGCCTTGGAATTTCGTACGTAGTTCTCAGACAAACGGGGAGCGTGTAGTATACTTTTTTGCTGTCTTTCCCTAGAATTTCACACTGGGACAGCTGGATCACCCCACTTTCAAGATGAGAGGTGCCAGACGAATGGGAGCCAAGCACACATTGGCCAGTATCCTGTTCATGCCAGTGTAATGTAAAGATATATTGGTGTAAATAGAGTTGTACCCTGCCATTGTGCAGTTAGTCATGTGTCTGCAGCACCAGCCATTCTGCAACGTGTTTTGGGAACAGCACTTCCACCTCAGTGTTTGCACATCTACTGTGGGTGCAATCCCATAGCTGCACAATAGGATTTTGGCCTTTATATACCAAGTTAGTGCACACTTAGCAATCTTTGCATAGTGAAAAAGCAAGCACTGTATCATACCTACAAACACATTGTCAGTGTTTTTCTGATACACTGTATATTTATTTGCAAATAGTGTTTGTCTACTTCTGGCTGGGTAAAAAGGTAAAGGTTCCCCTTGACAATTTTTTTGTCCAGTCGTGTCCGACTCTAGGGGGCGGCGCTCATCCCGCTCATCAAGCCATAGAGCCAGCGTTTGTCCGAAGACAATGTTTCCGTGGTCACATGGCCAGTGTGATTTAGACACAGAACACTGTTTACCTTCCCACCGAGATGGTACCTATTTATGTACTCGCATTTGTATGCTTTCGAACCGCTAGGTTGGCGGGAGCTGGGACAAGCGACAGGCGCTCACTCCGTCGCGTGGATTCGATCTTACAACTGCTTGGTCTTCTGACCCTGCAACACAGGCTTCTGCGGTTTAGCCCACAGCGCCACCACGTCCCCCTTCTGGCTGGGTAGTTTGGTGAATTTGGTGGCGATAGTTGTTACATATCATCAAGCTGTATCCAACTTATGGTGATCCAATGAATGAATGACCTCCAAAATGTCCTGCCCTCAACAGCCCTGCACAGCTTGTATAAATTCAAGGCTGTGGTTCCTACAGGGAGTCAATCAATCTCATGTCTGGTCTTTCTCTTTTTCCTGCTGTCTTCAACTTTTCCCAGCATTATTGTCTTTTCCAGCAGACCTGGTTCATCATTTTTGCCTCTAGAGATAATTCAGACTTGCTTTGCTCACTTGTTCATCTTTCTGGCAATCCAAGGTATACACAAAGCTCTCGTCCAACAGCACATTTCAAACAAATCAATTTTTTCTTGTCACTTTACTGTCCAGCTTTCACACCAATACAAGAGTGTGAATGATCTTGAACGTGGACTCCAGTGACACATCTTTACAGCTTTATCTTTTATAATTCCTTCATTACTGCCTTTCTAAGTCTTTTTCTGATTTCTTAGCTGCAGTCTCCATTTGGATTGATAATTGAACCAAGGTATACAGAATCTCTGCTATTTAAATTTCTTTGTTATCAACATTAAAGTAGTATACAGTAATTCTTCTCTAGTCATTATTTTTGTCTTCTTTATGTTTAACTGCAGTCCTGCTTTGGCACTTTATTCTTTCACATTTGATAAAGTAGTTTCGAATTACTGCTGCTTTCTTTCACTAGTATGATATCACCTACATATTTGAAATTATTGATGTTTCTTCTACCAATTTTCATTCCTCCTTCATCTGAATCTAATCCACCTCACTGTATTATATATTACGTATACAAATTGAATAGGTACAGAGATAAAATGCACCCTTGTCTGACACCTTTGCCTATAGGAAATCATTTTATCTCTTCATATTCTGCCCTAATAGTAGCTTCTTGACCACAATAGAGGTCGTGTATCACGACAGCCAAGTGCTGAGACTGACTCATTTATTTCAGAATAGCCTATAGTTTCTCATGATCCACACAGTTGAAGGCTTTGCTGTGGTCTATAAAGCATAGACTGATATTCTGAAATTCAAACAGCCAGCAGATATTTGCAATATTATTTTGAATGCCTCTTCCTTTTTGGAACCCAGATTGAACATCAGGTATTTCTTGCCCCATACAGTATAAGGTTAAATCCTTTGTTGCAGTACATTGAGCAACACTTTGCTTACATGGAAAATTTGAACAATGGTCCTATAGTTAATACACTCATTGGTGTCTCCTTTCTTGGGGACTGGAAGTATATTATTGTTGCCATTCTATGAGCCATTGTTTTGTTTTCCTATTTATTGACATATTCTTGTTAGGATTTTGACAATTCAGTCTCTGTGTCCTGAAATAATTCAGAGCAAAATAATTTTAGAGCAGCTTTCACTTCACTTTCTAGAACTGCAGATTCTTCATTACAGGATACCTCTTTAAAGGAGCCTAACATCCTTTCATCTCTTCTGTATAGGCCTTCAGCATAATTTTTCCATCTTTTCTTTATTTCCTTCTCATCAGATACTGCGTTTCCCTGTTGAGATTTCAGGATTCCTCATCTCAAAGAAATCTCTTGTTTTTACTCTTTTGTTCTATGCTATTTATTTGCACTGGATTGCATTACAATAATTCTCTTTGTCTCTTTGGGATAGTCACTCAAAAGCTACCTTCAGGATTCTGAACGTACATTACTTTTGCTTCTATTGAATGCAATGTATTGAGATACAAAATACCTATCTCTAGAGGAATCCAAGTCACAAAGCATAAAATCATAGAATAACAGAGGTGGAAGTAGCCTATAAGGCCATCAAGTCCAACTCCCTGCTCAATGCAGGAATCCAAATCAAAGCAGATCTGTAGGGCTTGAACATTTTTAGAATGTCTCACCAGTCAGTTAAAAATTTCACCAGTCAGCATGACTGAACTATAGTCTTGCAAATTATGTTTAAACTTAATTTGAAATTTAGACTAGGCACTTTCTACATAAAAATGCATACAAACCCAAAATAAATATACCCTCAGACTTGGGTTGCTTTATTACCTGCGTGCCTGTGGGGCAATGAAGCTTGTATTGTATTTTGAATGCCTTTCTTTTGAATGCCTCCAGCAAAAATAAAACTGAAAGCAAAAGCGCCCGGCCTCTTAAGGAGTCAGGTCCTTCGGTTGAAATTGGGAGCTGGGAATCTCCATATTTTCCAGCATGGGACTACTCTACATTCTCCTGCAGAACTATATGTGCCACTCGAACTCTCTTCGCGAGACGAGGGCTGTTTTTCCTTTTGCAATGGGAAGGGGGAGGGGAGGACTGCAGTATCAGAGAGACGGACTGAGGGTAAGGAGGCAAGGAGGGAGGGTGCTGTGGCTCGTCAAGCAGCATTTTTTCACTCGTCACAGAGGAGTGGATGAGTGGATTTTTCAGTCCCTGCAGATTTGACTGGTGGTTATTTAATTTTCTCTTGAATGCCTCCAGCATTTCAGCACTCATGATCTCTTGAGGTAATTGGTTCTATTATTGTACAACTCTAATAGTTAAGAGATTTTTCTTGACATTCAGCCTAAATCTGGCTTTCAGTAAATTGAGCCCATTATTACATTTCCCTGATCATCAGAGAGTGTACAGTTACAAATTGCCTTCCAGCTGGATGGCTTAGCGAGCTGGGTCCCTGGCTGCAGAGTGATTCTGGAAACTGGAAAATGATGCAAACAGGTACAGAATTAAAATAGTATAATTTGTGCACCAGATTCTTTGCATGCTAGACTGAGGTAGCATTGTGCACTTACAAAACAAGCAACTCAGAAATTCCTGAGTAAAATGTTCATGGGAGACAGACCGCCACATCCTTGCTCCTCTTTAGAACATGTTAAACTGAAGTGTACTAACTTGCTGTTCCCTCATTCTTGGGCCTGCATAAAATGGCCAGTGCTATAGATATCTACCTATGGAAACTTTTAAGTGTAAGTATACTTACAGCAATTTTCATAAATGTAAGTCAGTGACATCAAAAGACTAAAAGGCCAGGCAGCGCCCACGGGATTTGAACCTGGTGACATAGAGTTTGTAATCAACGAAGGAACCGTTAGGCTACGCTGACCCGGAGAAATGCAGCTGCTTGTGAGGCAGAAGAGGCAACAGGCCAGGAAACGTCACTGCAAGACAGTGGCTGAAAGTTCCTCCCCCTTTTGTCAAATCCCTAACCAGCTCCATTCCCTCTTTTTAGACCCTGACGTGAATTGTGTCATAGATGTAGAAAAACAGTAGACTGACACACGACCTTTATTTGTGATTCAAATGTTCATTCCGTGCTTTTTACAGATGCCAACAAAATACTGTATAAGCTTTCTATATGCCACAGTCTTCAGGACTGAAGTGCTCCTGGAAGAAAAAATGATGGGACTTGTCACGTTCCCGCCTGTCCCTTGGTTGTTTCACCAAGCAAAGGCTCACGTTAGGTGTTGTTCAGCTGCCACCAGTTGATTACATCAACTTTATTCACTATTAATGACAGAGATCCGGGCAACGTATCATTCAAGAACCAAGTAGAAATTGTTTATTGTTATAAGTGATAAAAGTTCAGTCAATGTCGTTAACTCTCAACTAAACAACCTTTCTTCACTCTTAACTGCCTCCTCTCCTTCTCTCTCCCCCTCCTTTTCTTCACCCTCTTAACTCCGCCCCTCATCAACTCCTATTGGTGCATGCAAATCTCAGTATAAATATTAATGAGCAGGGTAAACACTACAGGACTATTTACTTGCAAACTCAGGGTTTGGGCTTGGGTAGGTGGAATGCTCAAGCAACCACTAAGAGATAGTTTTGGAGGAGGGAGAATACTTAGAAATGCAGTCTTTAAATCATATTGTAACAGCCCAGATGCTCAGACTGGGAGTCATATAAGGTTTTCGTAACTGGACATGGCTAATTGAGCTAATGGACCAGGGCAATTTTGGTTACACAATCAGGCACACGACCACACATTGCAACCAATACATGTCTCAGCACCTTGTCAGTTAGTTGCAATTAGCTGCAACAAGTCACACAATCCGTATGCTGACACCAGGAGGATTCTGGCTATTATTTTTTAAAGGGCAGTCAACATGACCTAGTATTCTCATCTGCTTTCCACTCTTGGGAGAGAAGTCAGCAGGCTTCCACAGTTCGGAAATGCAGGTGGTGGAATGAGATTGGACAGCAGCAAAACAGCTTACATAGGGCAGGCTAGGGAACCTGTGGTCCTCCATACGTTAATGGACTTTGCCACATATTGTTCCTCACCACTGATCTGGCTGCCTGCAGCTAATAGGAACTGGAATCCAACAACATTTGGAGGACTAGAGATAATCCAGACCTGCTCTAAGGTAAAGGAAATAAACTGCATTGAAATTCCAGTGTACTCTATGATGGTGTCTCCTCCCAGTACAGCTACTGTGCATTGAACGAATGTATTTCTCCATCTTAGTGCTAGTACTGTTCATAGGCTGCACTTCATAAAAAAAATTATGCCCATGTAGCCTAATGCTGGAGAAACTGCCACGATGGTATATCTCCCAATACAATTCTACGTGTGCTTTTTATAAAAAATCCCTTTAAATGTATATTGAGATACAAAGGATTCATCTATGGAGAAATCCAAGTCACAAAGCATGAGAGAAAGAATACAATTACAAATTGAGTCCTAGCTGGATGGCTCAGTGAGTTTGGAACCTGGCTGCAGAGTGATTCCCCATATTGGCAGATTGATGCAAACAGGTAGAGATAGAATAATATAATCTGTGCACCAGAGCCTTTGTATGCCATACCAGCTGAAGTTATTTAATTGGTGGATATCGTACTTTTATTTCTATGGATCACTGGAAGTGCTAAAATAATTTTCCTAGCTAATGTTCTGTTTCATGTTCTAAAATTGAGCTTTCTCAAGTGTGAAGATAATCAGGTGAGGTCTTTCTCTCATCTCACTATTTTCACAGGTGCATTTGGTGGGTCTTCTTTGTTGCTGTTCTCAGACTTTGGATCTCCCTCCCAGAGGAGAGTAGGCTGTCCCCATGTTTACTGTTATTTTACAAGCACTGTCCACCTTTCTCTTCAGGAAAGCTTTCCCTTAGTGATTGGCTGCCTGAGTGGTTTTTTTTTTTAAATGGATTGTATCTTAATGCTTTGAATATGGTTTGGTGCTGCTTAATATTTTTTAGTATGGTTTTTGTTTGATCCTTTTTGTATTTGTATACTCACCATTGTTAACTTTAAATACAGTACTGTCTTTTAATGATATACTGTAGGCTATCTTGGGTTCTTCTTAAGGAGAAAGGTGAGATAGAAACACACACACAGAGAGAGAGAGAGAGAGAGAGAGAGAGTGTCTAGCAGCTTTTGGATGGCAGGAAGAAACTATCAGGAAGTTATGCTCCATTTGGAAACCCTCAGTAAAACCAATTTTTACAATTAGGAACATGAAAAAATTAGGAACTACATTATGTTTTTAGTATATGCATATATTGTACAATTGTTGCATTTATGCCTCACCTTTGCTGTAGTACACTCCATGTGGTACATGTTTCTCTTCCTTCACACCTTATCGCCAGAACAACTCTGAGAGGTAGGCCAGGCTGACAGAGCATTGCGCATTTACAAAAACAGACAATTCAGAAATGTTTGGGTTGAATGTCAAAGGTGGTCTGTACTTTGCGCAGGGCTGGCGCATATGACACATACTACATGTGTCTGAACTGCTTGCTTTTATTTCTCTTGACAGTTCCTGAGTCAATGGGAACAGACCATGGAGAGACAGACCACCACATCCTTGCTCCACTCCTCTTTTGAACATAGAAAACTGAAGTATACTTACTTGCTGTTCCCTCATTCTTTAGCCTTCAAGAAAAGGCCAATGCTATAGATGTCTGACAGTAGAAAGATAAACATATATGCAGAAACAGATTACTGTATACATTTATTGGACTGCTGAAAAAATCAAGTAGGCAGATACCTTTCGATTATAATTCAATTTCGTCAGGCTTTGTGCCAATATCTTGTGTATAGTTCAGAAAAAATATAGAGTCACAAAGTTTCATGTAAATATACATACAGCAATTTTCATAAATGTAAATCAGTGACATCAAAAGACTAAAAGGCCAGACAGCGCCCACGGGACTTGAACTTGTAGCAGTGAATTCGCAAGTATCACAAGCAAGAAGGAACCGTTGGGCTAAGCTGACCTGGAGAAACGCAGTTGCTTGTGAGGCAGAAGAGGCAACAGGGCAGGAAACGTCACTGCAAGACGTGAAAGTTCCTCCCTCTTTTGTCAAATCCTTAACCAGCTGACGTGAATTGTGTCATAGATATAGAAAAACAGTAGACTGACTAATGGCCCTTCTTTTTTGTGATTCTAACGTTTATTCCATGCTTTGTTCTGAGGCCAACTGAATACAAGGCTTCTACAGTATATGCAACAGGTTCGAGAGGAGTAAAGTCCTTCTGGAAGAAAAATTCATGGGATTGAAATTGCTGCAATTAGCTGCAGCAAGTCACACAGACCGTATGCTAACAATGGAATGATTATTTTAAGATATATTGAGATACAAAAGACCTCTTTATAGGGAAAGTTACAAAGCAAGTTGCAGATATGCTGCTTAGGAGCAAGTTGTGTTTAGGACAAAAATATTCTCCAGATTGTACATGAAACCAAACACTTTCTGCCTGAAGTATGCAGGAGATGTATCTGTGAAGATTCTCAGTCATCCAAGTGAGGCTGAGTCATGGCAATTGGGCTTCTTTCTTATTAGGTTGACAAGTTTTGTTACTCATCTGTGTAGCTTCTTCAGTCTGAGGAGAGTTAGTAGGACATCCCTGATATATCCTCCCTGATACAGTGGACATAAAAAGTTTACACACCCCGTTAAAATGTCAAGTGTCTGATGTAAAAAAATGAGACAAAGATAAATCATTTCAGAACTGTTTCCACCTTTAATGAGATCTATGAACTGTACAACTCAGTTGAACAACTTTTAGGAGGAGGGAAGCAAAAATAAAAAACCTGAACTAATATGGTTGCATCTGTGTGCACACCTTTAAACTAATACTTTGTCAAAGCACCTTTTGATTTTATTACAGCACTCAACCTTTTTGGGTATGAGTCTATCAGAACGGCACATCTTGATTTGGCAATATTTGCTCACTCTTCTGCTCACACAGCCAGTACTTGCCAGATATTCCTGTAGCTCCTTTAATATTGCTGTAGGCCTCTTGGCAGCCTCCCTGACTAATTTTCTTCTGGTCTTTTCATCAATTTTGCAGGGATGCACAGTTCTTGGTAATGTCACTGTTGTGCCATATTTTCTCCACTTGATGACTGTCTTCACTATGTTCCATGGTACTGTATATCGAATGCCTTGGAAATTCTTTTGTACCTTTCTCCTGACTGATACCTTTTAACAATGAGATCCCTCTGACGCTTTGGAAGCTTTCTGTGGACCATGGCTTCTGCTGCTGGATGTGACAAAGAAAATGTCAGGAAAAACCTACTAGCACAGCTGATCTTTATTTGGGATCCCTCAGAGGCACTTTAAATGATGGTAGGGGTGTACTGACTCCTACTTAACATGAGTTTGAATGTGATTGTTTACTGCTGAACACAGCTACATCCCCAGTTATAAGAGGGTGTGCACACAGATGCAACCATATTATTTCTTTTTTTATTTCTGCTTCCCTCCACCTAAAAGATTTCAGTTTGTTGTTTAACTGAGTTGTACAGTTCATAGGTCTCATTAAAGGTGGAAAAATCCTGAAATGATTTATCTTTGTCTCATTTTTTTACCTCACAGATACTTGACATTTTAACAGGGGTGTGCAAACATTATATATCCACTATACTGTATATATTAGGGATTTCCTACCAACTCTCCTCAGACTGAAGAAGCTACTTGGACGAGCAGTGAAATGTTTCAGCCTAATAAGAAGCCCAGTTGCCATGGCTCAACTTCCATATACGCAGGAGATGCTACAGAAGATTCAGACTGAAAATTCAAAACTCTGGAGGCATTCAAGAGTACTGTAAATGGGCCACTATCTGTCAGATCTGCCTTGATTTGGATTCCTGTATTGAGCAAGGGGTTCCATTGGATGGCCTCATAGGCTCCTTCCAACTCAATTACTCTATGATTCCATGAGAAAACCCATTTCCCTCTCCACAGACCACATGAAATCTTAAGGTTATCCTTTCCTATTGCTTTCCTCAAAAATTCTGCCAGCTTCACAGAAAAAAATTAAAAATCATTACATCAAAAAAACCCCGATGAAAGTAAATTAATGAACAACGTTAACTGATTTTTTTTTTAAAAAAAGATGCCCTGCCCTGTGTTTGAAGCATACGGTATCCCCGTCTCTGTCAGAAAAGACGTGATGCTCAAGTACAGTAGAAGTCGGGTTTGTGATTCAACTCCCAACCAAGGTAACGTAACAACAGTAATCGCGGAGTAGCGGCTGTCTCTGGCATCGATTATTCTTCCTTATTACGGTTTGGTTCCCCGTCTCTTGCTATTAAGGCGCCATCTTTCTGAGGGGAGGCTGAAGGCCACTTGAGATGATTATACCGTTGCCCACAGTTAGGCGGAGCCGGTCGGTTTAGTGCAAATCGGACGATTGCTTCTGTCTGTTACTCCCGCTGGCTGCGGAAGATGGCGGAGCGTTTTGGCGGCGCAGGGAGGGTTTCTCTCCCCTCAGAGGGGTCGGACGTAATTTGGTGCCTCGTGCGAGTGGGCATGAAGGGAGAGTGGCTGTTGCTGGAAGATGGCAGTGAGGTGAGAACGGGACGAAGACCCTTCCTCGACCTGACGGTTTCAGGGACGCCGGAGCGGAGGGAGGGATGGCGAGGGCGAGGGCGGTGTGTGAGGGAAGGCGTTGTGCGAAGGGGAAGCGGGCGCCCCCTCTTCCTTCGCTTCGGGCAAGGCGGCCCTTTGAGCGCATCTGGGCTGGTGGAAACTCGCAAAGTGTCTTCGGTGCTACTGCCTGGTCCAGGTATCCCGAGTTATACAGGAGAGAGGGAAACGGGGAGGAAAAATATAACTTCTCTCGTGTTTGTCCTCCCCCCACTTAAAACACGGGCACTGGAACCGTGTTTCTGCACTTTTATTTGAGACAAATAATAAAAACATGCTGTTGGTTGGCCTCTTCAGAGTCACACAGTACATATAGAAACTTCCCAAAGGGGCAAAAATTTGAATTGTGGTTATGTTTACGTTTACTTACTTACTTACTTACTTACTTACTTACTTACTTACTTACTTATACATACCCGCCCATCTGGTCTAAAAGACCACTCTAGGCGGCTTCCAATATAGTAAAAACTAAAATAATACAAAAAACGCAAACAATTACATAAATCACATTGTAATAAACAGAATACAACAATAGAATAGAAAATACATAAGGAAAGAATGAACAGAAAAGTCAGATATTAACTGGAGGGCAGGCCTGAATGTATAGCCATGTTTTTAATTGACTTTTAAAAGTGTCCAAAGGGGGGGCCGTGCGGATCTCAGGAGGGAGATTTCAGAGGCGAGGAGCCACTGCCGAGAAGGCCCGGTTTCGTGTCCTTTCTTTCCGGGCCTCCCTTGTCGTTAGGCTCCTCAGCCTCACCTCCTGGCTCGTGCGGGTGATCCGAGTAGATCTAGGTGGAAGCAGGCGTTTCGCCAAGTATTGGGGTCCTAAACCTTTTAGGGCCTTATATTTTATTTATTTATTTATTTATTTATTTATTGGACTTATATACCGCCCCATAGCGCTACAAGCACTCTCCGGGCGGTTTACAACTTTTTAATTATACAGGCTACACATTGCATATATCACTGCAAGCACCATTCTGAGCAGTTTGCAAGATAAAATGTAAATGTTCATTGTCTATTTTGTGCAAAGATT